CACATTCCGAGTAACTGTCTCCCTCGACGTGCTATGCTAGGGGAAGCTGGATTAGGTAGACCAAGACCTGAGACCAGTATATTAGTCCCTAACTCTTAGTCTGAGTGGTGTGGGGAGGTCTAAACTGCCTGGTTGGGGTCCCTGATACGATAAGAATTAGTAGTTGAGAACTCTTGGTGATACGGCTGAAAATCGGTCCCAGTGGGGCAAACGTGTTCACTCTCTGACGTCTTTTAAATCTTGAATATTCTCACTGACTTTTACCTACAAATTGTATATTCTCTCACATAACTTTTTCTGGTTTGATGTCACTCTTTTTCAGTTCATCTGTTCTTTATATACTGTGAATTGTGGCAAATTGAACCACAGGTTTTACGTTGATTCTGTCTCTTTATGTACTGGAGAAGTATTAGAAAGAAGGAAGCACTGGCTAACTCTTTCGTTTACTTTGTATCGGACTAATCAGACAATTCAAGCCTTTTCAATGTGCTCGTTATCTCCCAAACATGCAATTAAAATCTAATTGTTTGTCTTTTGCGAATTCATACGATTTTATACATACTAATACTTTCATGCATTGTCAGCCTCAGATATTACTCCATACTCTCCACTTAAATGACCCATTAGATCAAAGTTTCATTTGAAATAATGAAACATGCATGTCGAAGGCAGTAGCTATTGACTGCTGAGGTTAATTTTAGTTTGGAATTAATCATGAACTGACATCAGTTGGAGGAACATTGGAAACCTAGGAGCACTGGACAGCTGTTCCATCCTAGTATGGGACTCCTCAGAGGTGCGTACTCATGACCCCACCAGAAATCGAACCCAGGACCTTCAGGTTCCGTGACCAGCACGTTACCATTGAGCCATTGGATCGGAATCCAACTGTGCGCATTTCCTGCTTCTGTCAGTCCAAGACATAACGCGACCTACACCCAGTGTCGTCGCTAATACTGAATCCTAACCCAATAAACCTCCAGATAGAACTAATCTAGTGCTCCATAGTGACTTGCTTCGAGATGTGATTCCCGAAGTTCTAGTGAAAAGTAATAACCGGTGGAGTCAACCAAGTCGAACATGACGGCAGTTACTCAACGACGACATTAGATGTAGGTCACGTTATATCGTGAACTGACAGAAGCAGGAAATGCGCACAGTTGGATTCCGATCCAATGGCTCAATGGTAACGTGCTGGTCACGGAACCTGAAGGTCCTGGGTTCGATTTCTGGTGGGGTCATGAGTACGCACCTCTGAGGAGTCCCATACTAGGATGGAACAGCTGTCCAGTGCTCCTAGGTTTCCAATGTTCTTCCAACTGATGTCAGTCCATGATGAATCCTAACCTAAAATCAATTGATAAGCTCCTAAAAACCTCCAGATAGTACTGGAGTTAATGACAAACCGTGCTTTTTCGAAAAATCGAACTATTATTATACCAGCCACAGACTGGGTACCATAGATTAATCTACAAAACTCACGTGGTTTGACCCAGATTTACTTTCAAGTGTATAAATCATACGGTATATATAAGTGATTCTTAAAGCTGGTCACCACAGTAGCAGATTGGAAAACATTCTGTATTAAATTTTGAACATTTTCACTAACAGTTTATTTATTCTCTCTCTTCATATGCGTTTCAACCCACCTGCAATTAAATACTAAGAATGCCCTGTAATTCTTCTGCTGTTTTCATACTCTATACTATTGATCAACCTCAAAAGAAAACAACTCAGTTATCAACTGTTCTCTCGCTTTCCGTGTTCATTCGGCTAATATCAGCCTACTATGAAAGTAAAAGTTGAAATTTACCGAAGACACAGGCCGCTGAAAAGTTCAATATCTCGATGAAAGTCAGAAACAAAGCATTAGTTTTGTTTTGGTAATGTATATACTCATAAATTATTTCTAATAAATTACAGTGTATAAGAAATGTTTAAACAGTGTGGTTCGCAACCGAAACACCGTAACCATTGGTTTATATTGTTAGTTAGCCATAATGCTTAATTCTATGCGGACGCATTTTTCCTGAAAGTGTAACCCAGTACCCTCATACGGTCTCATGAACTGGTCCAAAAGGTTTAACTATTTTGAAAAACTTAGTAATAAATAACCTGATATCGCAACGATGCACAAGGTCTGCACCTATTGCCTGATCGTGCATAATGAAGTTCCCACTTCCATCCTATTTGGGACTCGCCAACCTGATGTACCTGCATCTCATTGAGTGATGCTGTTTCCACTGAGACTCGAACCCCATATCAAAAGCTTCAAATGTCAGGGCGTTATTCACTAAGCCAGTGGGGCACGATAGCCACCTCTTGCACAATGCGCATCAATTGTTCTTATGATACTTGTATTTTCCCCTTGTTATACAGGGCCGAATTGCTCGATATCTTCTTTTGGCAGATGGTCTCGTATGCGGGTGCCTCGATACTACCGGATATTCACGATGTTAAACTGACTGGCAGTGGGATCCAGAACTCGCATTTCGTCCCATCATCTCACGTACATTCATGGAGCAAGGCTGTGCATTGTTTCAGGGCCTACTTTTCATCAAACCTTTATCTGAAAAAACAAGGCAGCAGCAGCTAAATATGATGATTATTCTCGATAAACACTAGTACAAATTCACTGTTGGAACTCGCACTATTTAACTGTAGTATGTGTGAAGTTGTCTGCTTTTGGTCTCATTACTGCAGCCAAACCTGCTGGTGTGACAAGGCCTTACAAATTAAACAGTCTAGTCAATATAGCTCAGATGGATCCCTACGATACGCCTATAACCACAGTCAGTTGGTATGTGAGGTCGAGTGATTGAATGCATAAATTAGGAGTGCATTTAGTGCAATCAGATTTCCTATATCCTATTACGGTATGCATAGTATATCTATCATTTTTGAAACACAATAAACCAAACCTAATATATGAAAGCCAATAACACTGTACAACTGGTCAGATCATTTCAGTGGAGCGGGTTAGAAGCTGCACTCCGCCAATTAAAATCTGAGTGTCTAAAACAGTAAGTTACAGCACAATTTCGAATAACTGTAAACGCAACTGAAATAGATATTTCAGGTTCTTTGTGCTTCCTTATCACCCTATGTTTCTCTCCATTTTTCTCTACTGGACAGATAATTCGGGTCATGATCTGTTAGCATTCTACGATTATCTAGTTAAATGTATACGTGAAAAAGATGACCAGACATTAATATTTTTTGAACCTGTACCATATGCAATATTTTTCCCATTCGTCAACGGAATACCCGGAACTGGTATACAACGTGTCCCTGGATCACTAGAAGATGGAGTGGCGAAAAAAAAAGCGTGCTATCTTACCATTATTACTGTTGGCTGTTACAAACATCACCCGAGGGAAATATGCCATCCTGGAAAAAATTTATCTGTGACGACGTAAGATACTTCTTATGAAATGACTTGTCATTAAGATTCCTTGCATGTGTTAATATTGAAAGACAAAGGGAAGCGACTGTGTCGTGTAGGATAATTTGGAAGAGATGTACTCACCTTTGAAATTGTAATTCGTTCGACTTAGCTTTCTGTTGATAGATAGTATTGTTGAACTATTCAGCAAACTCATTATTCCATTAAATGGAAAGTACTATTTAATTTGCATTAGTAAACACTGTGTATTAATTAAGTCCTGAGAACAGATATTTTTGGTCTCACAAGTATTTAAGCGAAATGGAAAGTACTTGACATATACCGAGTCTATAAGTAGCTTTATAGTTCTAAGCTTCAGCTATATGATCAAATTAGCCTCTCATATTGCTTCTGATATTCCTCTTTCAACTGTCCTGCACAACTGCTAATATGCATGAAGCAAATTAGTCACTACAATTGCTATCAGGTCAGTTTAATTTCTTGGAAGAAGTAAGATGAAAAGTGTCGCATAGTCTAAATTCTTCTAATCAGGTTAATAAGGACAACAAATAAAAACCTGTACATACACCAATTCAGGTAGAATGGATTTATGCTGGTTTATAACGCTAATGGAGAAGCGGAAGATGAAGAATAGAAGATAGCTTTATTGATTGGAAAAGATATTTGTTTACAACTATGATTTCAACAACCACAGTTACGCTATTCACTATGGCGACACTGAGTAAATAATATGATCAAAATAAACAAGTACTTAGGGAAACGTACATATGATTGGCTAATTAAAATTTAAAACCAATGTACGACTAATTGTGAGTTATTTAAACAAAACAGAAGAGTAATACACTTTTAAAAGGAATACGGAATGAGTTTTAAAATCATCTACTGAGTGGGTGTAACCAAAATGTAAAAGAGCGTTCAAAACCGAAACAGTTTGATCCACTTTCCTCAATTCTTAATTATTTCAGATGCATTTCATCAACACTATGTATATATATATATATATATATATATATATATATATATATATGTATATAATGAATTTTATCACATAAGTCAGTTCGTTTGACATTATGGAAATCCACTGACGTTTGCTGCCCCTTGCATGTAGGTTACTAACTGTCTTTACCGCTGTTTCTACGGTAGACTGAAAGTTACATCAGGTCTCCTGAGGATGCGCATTGCTAACACATTCAGATAAGTGCTTAGCTATCTCCTCCGTAAATACTTACTCCACGTTCTCACCTTCCAATAGAACACACGGGCTTCACCACTGCCTCTTTTCTGGTACCAGTTAGTCAGAGACATACACGTCCTCGAGTCCAAGCAGGAACTCCAGAAGGTGCGAAAATCCTCCAGCCATCCACGCAAACGACGGTTTATAGAAATATTATTTATCTTTTTCCGTTGTTGGTTTGTTGTCGGCCAACACCATGTGAGACAATGTCTCTCCTTATGCTTGAATATTTTGACTGTCTCAACAAAATTGCAAGAGACGATCACCGTTGCCGGGAGGACTAAACACCTATCTAGTGTTTCCAGGTTAACAGTGATTCTCCACATAATGTCAATTCATGATGAAAACCCTCTTGAAATCTGTCAACCTCCAAAAATCAACAGCTGGAATTTGAAAATTTCACTTATTAAGTAAATTGCGAAAAAATGTAATTTTGAAGAAGTAAATCTGTGTGTGAACACCAACAAAATTTGATTGACTAGAGATCTATGTTGTGAATTGGGTTGGTCAGACAATGAAACAGAATATGTGATGCTCCTGATCTTTGTGTCAATGGTTTATTGATGAAGAGACGACTTTCAAGGTTATTGAAAAACTGTCAAAATAGTGCAAGAAAACAGCTCAGCGTCATGAGTTCGGTATATTATTGTTCCCTCGTTAAAGTATTTGCGTGATGGTTTAAGTTAACAGGACCGCAGTTATTGCATAAAAAATAGAAACGGAGGTAAACTGATAAAATGTGTTCTACGAAATACCGTTCAGTCAAAAGTCAATTTCTGGAGTTGAAAAATTTATACACGAGTCCTTTGTAAATGAGAAAATGACTGGAATCAATAAAACATCTTTGTTATAACTCATTATTCTAACTTTATTATAACTTATAACATTCATGTTGATCGTTGTTCATTTATTGTTTTCTACAAAGAAGCTTTCATTAACAATTTAGGAAGAAGAGTGATTGATTATTTAAACTAAATGCTATTTTCAATCTTATTTTGTTTTTCATATACATCGATAACTTATTCATGAGACAGATTTTAGCTGGAGTTTACTAGTATTCCACTGTGTTTATGAATGAACTTTTTTCTAAAAAATTCTTTTTCAGATTCTCATGCAATATGCATTCGCGAATATAAAAAATATAACTAAGTTTACTGGAGGTGGACGGTTTTTAACAGAATTCGGTTTATGTATTCTGATGGTAATCCTAATTCGATAAATACTGTAGAATGCAATGCTGTGTTAAATGCAGCTGATGAGCATTTTGAATCATGGACATACTGGGATAGTTACGAGCGATTTCCCAATTTTGATATCACAGATGTTCATGTAAGTCTAATCCCTTTTAGAAAGACTTTTTTAACTTGACATTTAAACCTTGTTTTGTTAGTAAGCCTTCTTGATTTATCAAGTAACTGGTTGTCAGCTCAAATCTACAACACTCCAAAATTTTGAAGGATTTTTCCAGCATCAAGGAAACGAAGTAGTAAATGAACTATGAAAATGTAAATCTCTATGGTTCTCCAATGCAATTTAAAAAGCTCAGGCTAAATCTCAAGCAGACCAGTGATTATTTTCGAATTAGCAAAGAATGTTTTCATCATTCACACCATAGCTTATATAGCAATGGTGAAATTTATATCGATATTGCTTTACTTTGTACTACATAAAAACATGTTAGTATACCTAATAGCTATGAACTCAACTTCACGTAACTGTAGTTATCTTAAACTTGCAGGAAAATGTTGCACAGGTGAAGATGAGCTCTCAGGACTACTCAAATCTTAAGGACAACTCTGACTATAAACACGTGACAAAAAGCATTATTTGTCGTCTCTTACTTCCATGAGTAAATAATTAGCTATGGTTTATTCAGTGAATAAGTTCTTCAGTCGTAGACTGAACCTAGTTGGCATATCAAACTGGAACTACAAGGAATATCGAAGTACTTCTCAATTACCTATATCCCAATAGTGAACGATCGATTCGGTCCAATCTACTAGGAGGAACTACAAGCAATGACACCAAACTGTGCCTATCACACAAGGTTTAGTTACCGTGAATATTAGCCTCACCGATAACACTCTGCCATTTGACGCGGTGGATTCGAGTCTCCGTGGGGACAACACTCACTGAGAAGCAGTTACATCCAGCTGACGAGTCCAAAATAGGACTAAACACGAGTCCTGGATTCCACTGCTAGTCATCAAGCAGAATACAACAACATCCTGAATTCCACTGGTAGCCATTATCCGTATTTAGAATCAACTTATTTTCACGTGTTTTTCACCTTCACATCATCAAATCAATTAGAACTATAGGAAACTAAAGATCAGAGATGAACGAATGAATGAAGTTTGATTTTATTTGAAAGTGGTTTGGTGAAGATGACGTCAAACAACGAATGTAAATATTATTCAAATCAAATGTAATTGTATAGAGACCAAAAGAGCGTTACTGAACCCGATACTCTCATTCATTTCAGTTAAAAAACGTTGACCACTTTTCCAAGAAATAAACTGTTTTACAGTTAAGTCTCCCATTTACTAGGAATACAGTTCTTCCTGCATGGATGTAGATAAACAGATATGACAGTTATCCGTTTACTATCTAATTTTTGTTTGCGATATATTAGATAAGGCACAGGTGTTCACTTTCCTCTTTTCCTTGATTTCTTCATATCATTTGTTAATCGGATTGGAAATAATTCTTTGTAAATTCTTCCACCTTATCTAACAGAATATTCATATCATGAAGATCTAGATATTTTAATGATCTGCAGAACTTCACACTTATTTCTAATAAAAAGATCCCTCAAGGTGTCTTATTACTGGTCTTTCCACTTGATGAGCATTTTACCATGATTACGGTTTGTTTTGAGACCGAAAATTGAAAAAGTCAACAAAAAACCTTTCACACAAGTGCGTCGGTTTAAGTTCTGTATACAAAACAGTTGATTGTTCGAATACTGTACACTATAACCAGTTGTGTTTTAGGTTTTGAAATATTGGGAAAGGTATACAGTTGAGAAAAAGTTTAATGGTTTACATCTAGTTTCTGTGAATTTACTAGCAGTGAAGTTCAAAACTTTACAATTCGTTGAAACAAATGAGACAGAGATGGAAAGTAATAGAATCGTTTATTTTGAATGTTGAGACGTTGGTCAGATATGGTATCAATATTTGAAGCCACCGGATATCAATATTTACGGTCAAACATTTAACTTCAAAGTGAGATAACCATACCCGGTAAAATGAGGTATAGAAATACACCATAAAAAGCTAAACCAACTAGCCTGCATACAAATAAATGTTTTATTAGCAAATAATAATGCAAGTTATTAGCATCCAGATCATGGTTGTTGCGAATGTCCTGGAAGAAGTTGAGCACCAAGTCTGATTTAGTCATTAAATGAGTATATGTTAATATAATTGTAGCGTGTTTAGAAAATCAAAGCGAGATATTTCTTAACGTTTAATTGTGTAGGCCTCAGCTTCTTTTCAGCAGAACATACGGATTTTTATTCTACATACTCTTCTGAAGAAGCTGTAGCTTGCACAGCAAAACGTTCAGAAATATCATGTTTTGATTTTCCATTGGGATTATATTAAAATATACTCTTATAAATATTAGACAAATTAAAATGAAGGATGTTTTCAGGAATATTTGTTTACATACCTGCATATCCCATCACGTATCTTCATTAATACTTCAGATAAGTCGAAGCGCACGCAGAATACAACATCGTAAATGTGTCATTATCGACATCACAAATCCTTTTCCCTAACCCTGCGTTAAGGTAATTATAGGAAAAAGAAATTCTTATTGTATTGATTTGCCAATAATTTGATTGTCTTATGGTTTCTTTGATGTAATTTGAGAAATTAATTTAATTCTTTAGATATCCAAGTTCATACCATATAGGCAGCTGCATCCCAGTGTGCACTAAATCATTATTGGATCATGGCAATCAGTAGTAGTTCCCTTTACTCAATTTTCTGAATGTTCTGATATTGGATTTGGTTAAGGAACCAGTAGATTGGCTGGATTCTCCTCAATTTTCTTTATAATGAAATAAAGCAGTTATTCAGTTTTGTCTTTAATGGCATTCGACAACATGATTGTATGTCACCTCTCTCAGAATGGTCTGTACCCAGTACTTACTATCTAACTTTTGCATAGGTAACGCACAATTTGAAATAGTAGTTCACATAACCGATTTCAGTAGCCATCTTTGGTTAAGAGATGAACAAAGTTAGAGAAAGAAGCGTGAAGGTGGGATTATGATCGATACTGAAATGAAACTGATAAATTATGTTTAAGGAAATGCGGACCTACTGTTTGCCACTTACCAAACTCAATGAAATTACCATAAGTCTTATCCGTCTGAGGCCCTCGATAAGATTCGTCTTATTCTCAACTAGTCTGATTTAACAGACTCCAACCTCCGAGATAGACATATCAGGCTATTTTTATCACTTTGTCTCATTTATAAATAAATGATTTTCTATTTTTTCAGTAAGTAGTTTCAGACATTTCATAAACTTGATTCTTAGTTGTCACAAAGGAAACGAAATTTTAGTAAACAAAAGTACTCACCCATGGTCAAAAAACATCTGCTGAACTGCATAAAATTTAGTTGCAAGTATGGTTGTAAGAGATACTGGCATTTTTGCACCGTAAACATACTCCAACCTAAAATGAAACAACTGTCTAGCGAGTCTTGGTTTCTCACGAATCCTGAAGAGAATCTTCCAAAAAAACAATGTTATTTGGTCTCATTCCTTCGTGTTTTTAATCTTTATTTTATATAGCTGAAGTCATTTAGCCGTACATATCCACAATCGACAGCTGGCAAACCAATCAGACTCAATTTTAATGTCGAAACAGGTTGGTTTTACTATTCTTTTATATCATCAAAATACGACAGCTGTATCAGTAACAATACATCACTATTAATTACAGAAGTATTTGTACCGATGTCTACTCATTATCCACATGGAATAAATGTTAACTTTAAACCAAATCAACTATACTACAAAATCTATCGAAACAATACAAATTTAATGTTGGTTTATGCACCATGCACCCTTATTCACAATAGAAACCTGCAAATAGAGATAAGAATAACGCCCAATCAAACTATTGACAAAAGAAACTTTGGGAACATTCTAACTTGTTCTATGTTCATATTAACTTTTCCAATTATAAAATATGTAATTTTTTACCGATTTGATTTCCAGTAGGTGTGCTTAATATTGTTTTATCTTACTGTTTATTTATCTGTCTGAAGCGCTGAACTACGAATATAAACAAAAGCATTTCATGCATTGAATATTATCTTTTTTGTACGGAATAAATAAAGCTTGAAGACAGTTGTGTTGAACTTATGGTTAACAAATTGATAAATAAAGGAGTAATGTTACTTTCAAGTTTGTGGTCAATCTTTTTACTTCAACGAGAACGTATAGATAGAAAGAAACAGGAAATATAGCTGAAAAGTGCAGGATTCCAGTTTAGTAGGACTTTCTAATAAACAGAAATGGGTCGTTAATATAGGTGTAAAACTTGAGCAATGTGGTAGAATTTAATTTCATATTACATTTGTTTATCTGATTTATAACACACAGTGATCTAGTATTATTTACCTGATGACGTTTCGAGCATAAATTATTGTTCATAATCATCAACAGAAGGTAATAAATACCAAAACTAATGAGGATGTGTAAATAGTGGGAACTGATCTGGTCACCCTTAACTTTGTGAACACCACATCCTGAACTAGCTAACATTGCACATCAGCCGATGTAGCAGAACAACGTATGTAAGACATATTCCAGATTGTTCAAATGGTGAAAGTTAGTGAATTGACCAAGTGACTTGCCCTCATGTTCTGTTACTCTAAGCCTGTGTCGAAGGTTTCTCTATAGTTCCACCACATAACTAAAAGAATGTGGCCCGTTTCTTCTCACTTTTGATAGTCGTCTCATAGATGAAAAATGAAATAGAGAAGACTGCTAGGCAGTACACTCGTTAGAAGTCAGATAGCTTGTTATTCTCGTTAATGATACAAATCGTCAATGTCCATCAAGCTTATTTTATTTATATTGAGATTTTATTGATAACTAACCCACAGTGGAAAGTGCAACTCCCCTACACATTCAATAATTTCACAACCTATGGTTAATTTTCGCGTCGGTACCGACCAGTCTTTTAGCAATATCTTACATTTTTTCGCACATAAAATACATGCCATATATGTTCGAAATTTTGCTCGATGCGTCCGGATAACTCCGCAACTTGTTGGCATCTTTTTAGAAAAGAACTAAGTGGTTAATTTACTCCAGATCAATTCAAGGCTTTTCACTCACCTGGCCTATCCAAGAGAATCTGAAAGTAAACAGGATCATCTTAAAGTTGAACAGCTCTCGTGGACTCACTGGTGTAGGCATAGAATTGAGTTCTAGAGCAGGGAGTGCACTCCTCGAGTGGATGCCAGTCAACAGCTGGGAGATGAGAATATCAAGTGTACATTTAAGAAAGGAAATACCTAAGCGTTTATCTTAGCATGACATTTTGCAGCCTGACAAGGTGTGATAGGATATTCTGTTTGCTGTAAGCACAGAGTAAGTGGGCTTTCCTGCAGGAAAGTGCTTTCCTCAGACAATGCAGATTACTTTTATTTCTAAACTTTTATATGGCTGTATGAATTGGAATAAATATCATATAACTATGAGGCACTCCATCTACAATCAGACGTTTACAAAATCGCTTAAGTGAATTTCACCTCCTGGTCAGCAAGTATGGAGTACTCGGCTCCAGAACCTAATGAAAGGTTACTATGTGATGATAGCAACTTTGTCCTGATGAAACGAATGCTTCGTTTTCCCATATTAAGTGTTAAATGACTTTCGACTCTGTGATCTATGTCAGTAAGGTTGACTCCTTTACATTAATCACATCAGTGTTTGCCTTCTTGATCGCAAATAGGAATAACTAGTGACTTCAACTATTCTGATAGTACTGTACCTGATCCCTAAACCTGAGTTAGTACTTTGGTAAGTCTAACCGATCGATCACCGCTGCAATATCTGAAACATTTTGGAAGTAAACTGGCTGGTCCTGCTACTTTGCTCCATTTGAGGCTTGAAACAATTCCAAATATAGGAAAGACTTTGGATATTGATATCTATGTCCTACTTCTAGTATAATTAGTCAGTGAGAAAATGAAATGCAACTGTGGGTTATAATGAATATTCCACAGTTCTGTCTTTTTACTATCAGAGGTTTTCAAAGACATATCCTTCCAGCCTACAACCAAATTGAACATACCCCGTTTCCAGTTTCATGTCTACAGAGTCTCAAACGCTTCCAATAAATTCGTAATAAGTCGGTCAATACCAAAAAGACCCCTGGATTTAACGTGCAGTGGTTCAAGTTACTACACTTGATATCAGGAGATACAAGGTAGCAAGATAAAACACAGAAAAATAGGAAATAAATGTAAATAAATGTTGTAAAAAGCCATAATAGTAAGTTGTAGGGCACTAACAAAATAGGATTAGGGTGAAGATGATGTATGGATGCATCTGCAATAGTCCGCTTTATTCTGAGTCAAAATACCAAGTTACCAACCACTGATTGGGTTTTCATGGGGATCTACATTTCTATACATGGTTCAAACTAATAGTTACAGACTTCATAAACAGATGCTACGTTTAATCCTGACCACTCACAGTGTTCTTCCAACCTAATTCTACTTAAGCTAACTAACGTCCAGTATCAGAGTGCACAATGGCCTCTCATGCGTAAGAAATATCCTAACCAAATAAGTCGGGAAATGTTTGCAATCCATTCAACTGAATTACCTCCCTGACTAAAGTCTGAGTTTGTCCTCTATGTTAATCAGACGGTGGTCCTGAAACAAACAGCAGTGATCGAACTCTTGAAATCTGAAATCATCCTGATTCCATGGCCATGTCCCGAAAATACATAGTGAAATAGGGTAACTTCTTTGGTAATTCAAAACTGGATATCTCGCTGGCACCACTGATGGCAAAAACAAATTCAATAAACGTAAAGAAAAACCAACACAGGCACACACAGAAGTCTATTGTTTTAAGTTGTCACACTTAATAGCAGCATGCAGGCAAGAATTGGATGGATGGTAGAGAAATGTATACGACATGAAAGACAATAAGTAGATAAGGGTTACTATTAAGCACAACAAAGCATAAACACAGTTGAACCGTGGAGACAGATTGTCAGGTATGTCATACAAGATTTCCAGTTATTGATACCTTTAATGCACTGGACTTAAAAAAGACAGTCCGAACATCAATACATGCTTCAGATCAATAGTCACAAACCTATAGGAACAGAGCTGACTCTTCGTCAGGTGATTCTTATACATCCTCCAAATTAAGCCTACATCGGTTACTATTGCACATCAGTGAAGTTGGTGGCAAAACAAGCGCAAAACATCCATGCTAACCCATTCGATGAAGGCTCAGTAACTAGTCGACTGACTTGCCTTCCTTGCCTAGTACCTTAAAATTAACCTCGCCACTACTCACATGATGATCCCAACACACATGAGCCACCCGACAAAAACATCTATGGTCACAAACCTGTAATCCACTAGTATCTTCTGATTTGAGAAACCGTACGAGGACATAGTGAGTCACATTGCAGTATACTCGTCAACTGATAGGTAGTCAGGTCAAGAAAATAACCACTCTGGGGTGCTGTATGCCTATCCCACAGATACGGCACACATTCATTTCCCCAAGATGCCAGAGTTTTGACTAGAGAAGCTGGTTGACCACCTTAACCCAGGATAAGGGCATTAAAATTTTCCATAGGAGGTTTCCAGTGGAGTGTCAAGGAAACAGGGATACTATTCCATCAAACTGGATGATCACCAAAACAGTAGAAGTGGAAGAAAGTGAATTTGACGTGGCAGTAACGACACAATGATGTGGAAAAGGGTGAAGTGATACTGTAAAAGGATGTTTGTTATTGATCAGAAGCGAGTCAAGTCCTGACACGGGTGCGGTAGCAGCTGATACTTTTCCACTGTCCACAATGCAGATTACTTCTTGAAGAACTTCGAAAAAGAATGGATTAGTCAGAGGGGTCATAATGCAGCGGGTGTATGAACATGGAGCAGAACGGTGGGCAGGGAAGGATAAAGAGATGGAAAAAATAGAGGCGATAGGTAACAACAGACAACTATTTCGACTTATTACGGAGACTTGAGTGGAAAGGCTAGTGGTTAGGAGAACTATAGTGAAGAGGGAAAGGGCGGTGATTTACTGGCACGAGAGACGACTTGAACGATGGGCGGAACACTTTGAGAGAAATTGCATTTCGCCTCCAGCTACAAGTCCATTGCCACTATCCAGTGGGAGCCTGAATGAACATCGAGATAGGACTCTTTTCACTTAAAGAACTCGAGACAGCTGTAGGTTACAGGCTACAGGTACAGGTGGAATAATACCAGATGTATTTAAGGACGGCAGTAGAGGATTGTCGATCAAACTAACTGAAGTATCAACTTGCAACCGCTAGTCAGCTATGGCCCCTTGTCACTGATCTCAATCACTGATTATACCAGTCTTCAAGAGACGTAAGAAGTCCTCTTGTTATGACCACAGGCAAGTCAATGGGACGAAAATAGTGTCTAAGATCCACAGTTCTATAATCATCAGACGTCTGAGTGGAGCTCGGGAACATTTAACCCGAAGAAACCAGGTAAGAAGGCTTTAGACCTGGATGTGGGTGCATAGATTAAATATTCACTCCCCACCAGGTTTTCGAACATAGGCACACTTACCGCCGCCCGACACTAGATGTATTTCTGGAACTGAAAGGGACATTCGACAGGTCTTATGGCAGTGTTTCTCACTGAAGAGGATGCCTAGTAATTAAATCACAATGTTGAAAGCCTCTGTACT